AGTGTATTTTTCATTTCAGTTATTGTGTTGTTCATCTCTGTTTGTTTATTCTTTAGTTCTTCTAGAACTTTGTTAAACATTTCTTGTATTTTCTCAATCCATGCCTCCATTCTATTTCTGAGATTCTGGATCATCTTTACTATCATTACTCTGAATTCTTTTTCAGGTATATTGTCTATTTCCTCTTCATTTATTTGGTCTTGTAGGTTTTTACCTTGCTCCTTCACCTGTGTCATATTTTTTTGCCATCTCATTTTTTTGTTTGTTTATGAGTGTGTTTGTGTTCCTGTCTTACTAGTTGTTTGGCCTGAGGCTTCCAACACTGGAGTTTGTAGGCTGTTGTGTAGAGCTGGGTCTTGGTGCTGAGATGAAGACCTCTATGAGACCTCACTTCAGTGAATATTCCCTCAGATCTGAGGTTCTCTGTTGGTCCAGTGATTCAGACTCCTCCCACCGCAGGAGATTTGGCCCAACCCCCAGCGGTGCACTTGGGGGTTCCTCCCGTTTCCTTGGACATCAGGGTCCCCCACCAGCGCTGGCAGGTGCCCTAGTTGTGGGGAGATACTAACTCAGTGTCTTCCCACACCGCCATCTTGACTCTGCCCTTCAGAAAGTTTAAAATTTTGATGACATCCGATTTATCAGTTTTTCCTTTTATAGTTAGTGATTTCTGTGTCCCATCTAAGAAATATTTACTTACCTACAGGTCACAGAGATATTCTTTCTTTATAGTTTTAACTTTTATATTCAGTTTTTACCTTTATATTCTTAGCTTTTATACTTATGACTGTAAGCTCAAAATAGTTTTCGAGTATAGTGTGAGGTAGAAGTTGAGGTTTATTTGTTCCCAAGCAGATGTCCAGTAGTTCTAGCACCATTTGTTGAAAAGACTTTACTTTCCCTTTTGAATTGTTAAGCATAACTGCCTCCACAAAACTGACTGAGGCATGGATTTTGCCTTCAAGAACTTATAGTCTGCAGAATAACTTTTGTACTAGAATTTATCGCTGACTTTTCATAAAGAATAGCACATCCAACTACTGTGATGCATGAAAAACTTTACCCTTTTAGAAAAGGGACAAAGCAAAGTTCTTTTGCCCCATCCAAGAATAGTTATATAAAATAAATTACTTAATGCAAATTGCTGATTGTGGTTGGTGCTTTGCCTTGAAGGAATGCAGTACAAGTAATAGTTTAACTTCAGAGAGTTCTTGTACTTTGTCCCCAGAAGAAAAAACACTTGAATGTGTTCAGCCCTCATATTACTATTATTATTCAGGCTTTAAAAGTTGTACCCTTGACCTTAGATATTTCATAACTTGAATAAATATTTTATTTTTGAGGGATTTTAAAATATTTACTCCTGGTTTACATAACTTTTAGATATAACCAATTGGATTTGTTTTTTAAAGAATTTTGTTTCACCATTAACACATTTTTATAATAGTTTCAAAGCATAAATGAAAATGTTAACTTTATAGCTCTTGATCTTTCCCTTTATAGACATTTATGCTCCAGACATCACTACTTTAACACTTGTTATTTGTAGATGACAGCACTTACAGCTGCCACCCATGCTCTAGATGTTTTTAGGTGACAAAGAGATGAGTTATGGTGGAAGAAGTATTAGACTAGGAGGCTCAAACACATGGGACTTAGGACTCTCAGCTACTTACAAAGTCAAGGCAGTACTTTCTTTGTGCCTTAATGTCTGGTATGAAATTGGAAGAATGATATGAGCTTCCCAAGGTCAGTATAAAACATATACACAGTTGTTGAGAATGAGAGCTTTAAGATCAGGATATCAAGATTCATATCCTGACTGCATCCAGTTGTGTGACCTTGGGCAGATTCCTTTACTTCCCTGAGCATTTTCTCATCTTTAAAATGAGGATGATACTAATATTATCCACCTCATGCTATTGTGAGGATTGAGATAGACAAACGCTTTAGCATGGTCTCTCTCTTTTCCATGGTCTCTCACGTTTCTCTTGTGAACAGAGGTAGACACTGCGACTGCCTTTTGTTCTGAACTGCCTTTTCAAGAGCTACCACTTTGGAAAGCAGAGATATGTCTCCCTCCAGAGCAAAGGGTAGATATGCTTACTACCCAATATAATAAAGATAATGTCTCCTTCCAGATCTGTGATTAAGAAATTATTCTTCATCTTTGACTAGGAGTCTTGTATCTTCTACCAATATCCATAAAACAGTGGCAAACTGGGGTGAGTTGGTCACCCTAAAGTAGGGTAAAGTGTCGACCCTTTACAATTCTTGATAAGTGCAGTATTTGCCACATAGGAAGCAACCAATAACTGTCATCTTGTGCTGTTATTATTTTATTTTATTTTTTTAAATTTTATTGAAGTATAGTTGATTTACAATGTTGTGTCTAATTTCTGCTGTACAGCAAAGTGATTCAGTTATACATATATATATTCTTTTTCATATGGTTTATCACAGGATATTAAATATAGTTCCCTGTGCTATACAATAGGACCTTCTTATTTATCCATCCTATATGTAATTTTTTACATCTGCTAATCCCAAACTCCCAGTCGTTCCCCCGCACCTCCTCTACCCCTTGGCAACCACAAGTCTGTTCTCTATATCTGTAAGTCTGTTTTTGTTATTATTTTATAAAGAAAAAATCTGACATACCAACTCAAAGTGTTTTGAAAGTATGAAGCGTTCTACACATGTTATTTATTTTTGTTTTAAGCAATTAAAAATTTTTTTTAATTAATTTATTTTTTGGCTGTGTTGGGTCTTCATTGCTGTGTGCGGGCTTTCTCTAGTTGTGGCGAGCGGGGGCTACTCTTTGTTGTGTGTGGGCTTCTTATTGCGGTGGCTTCTCTTATTGCAGAACATGGGCCCTAGAGTACGCGGGCTTCAGTAGTTGCGGCACATGGGCTCAGTAGTTGTGGCACACAGGCTTAGTTGCTCTGCGGCATGTGGAATCTTCCCAGACCAGGGCTCAAACCCGTATCCCCTGCATTGGCAGGCAGAGTCTTAACCACTGCACCACGAGGAAAGTCCCTACACATATTAATTATTATATGACAGAGTGAATTTGATGTTTGTTGGCAGGTTGAGTAGAATTTAAGTCAGTATTAGAGAACTGCTCATAGATTCACAGAACTAAGTGTAAGAGGAGGAAGGTCAAAGTAATTCACCCATGAAAGAAAAGAAGTTTCTAATATGGAAGATAATAAAAACAGCAAACTTTACCAATACTGGCAGAGAAATATGAACCACTCACATAGTGCTGTTATAATAAAAATAGGCATAAACAAAAATCTAGAATTTATGAATGGACAGTTAAATCTTCCACCAGGGTTAGATTTTTTTAAACTTGCTGTTCTGTCTTTTCTCCTTACAAATCAATATATAATTCACTGCACAACGAGAAATCTTTTTGAGATGAATCTTTTCCAGCCTTGGGCTTTTTATGTAAGGCTGGTATGGGACATCACCCTTAAGATCCTTAGGGAGATTCTTGTCTGACTGAATGCTCTGAAGCACCATCTTAGATTCTTCTGAGATCTTAGCAACTAATTGTATAGAACCACCCACATGGATTTGACTTTTATTCTGAAGCCCTTTCTTAATCTGAGAATTTTGGAGAGGCTGGGTATAAGAAACAGTTTTATAATTGAGCTTAGCAAGTTTTAGTTCTTTACATTTAACAGTTCTTCCTTTAGCTGTTGTCTCTCCTTTACATTTTACTATGAGCAGCAAGAAGACACCAAGCAGCAGTTTCAACACTGTGTAGAAATATCCTTAGTCAGAACATTCATTTCATTGAGTACGTTTTCTACTTCCCACGTTAACCGCAGGTGATAGTGTTGCTAAACCTTCTGCTACTCCATAACAATGGTGCCTTTTCCTCTAGTTTCCAATAACATTTTTCTCACTTTTCTTTAAGCTTTCACTGATAGCCTCTTTGAAGGACACAACACTTCGGCTAACAGTTCTGAAAGCTGAGGCAGATCCTGAAGGCATTTGCAACTGGAGGCTGTCAGCTAACTGTATTCCCTGCTGCTGACCCTCTCTTGAAAGGGGATTTGAGCAGTGCACCTCCGTGGCCACCACATGTAACACTCATGCCAAGCCATGTTCTACCAGTTTTTCCAATCTTGTCTCCTAACATTGCCTACATCTCACTCTATACTTTTGCTACAACAACTTGTACTACCTCAGTATGCCTTAAAATCACACAAAATCATGACATATTGCAGGCTGAGTTAGGTGCCTCACAGCACCCTATAATAATACTTATAATAATATAAATACTTTCGGGTTTCCCTGGTGGTGCAATGGTTGAGAGTCCGCCTGCTGATGCAGGGGACATGGGTTCGTGCCCCGGTCCGGGAGGATCCCACGTGCCGCGGAGTGGCTGGGCCCGTGAGCCATGGCTGCTGAGCCTGCGCGTCCGGAACCTGTGCTCCGCAATGGGAGAGGCCACAACAGTGAGAGGCCCAAGTACCGCAAAAAAAAAAAAAAAAAAAAAATTAATATATATATATATACACACACACACTTTCATGGCACCCTAGAAATCTATCACTGTATTTATGTCATTCTTTGGTACTTGGATTCAAATCTCGACTCTGACATTGCTTAGCTAAATGACTTCGGTCAAGTTATTTGGTTTCTCTGTGTCTCGGCTTCTTCATCTTTACAATGGGGAAATAATATTCTTTTCATAGAATTGTTGGGATTAAATCAGTTAATACAGGTTAAGTGCTTAGAACAGAGCCTAGTACAGAGTAAATGTTCCGTAACTGTTAGCTATAATCATTAATGATCTGAACTGACAAGATATATTGATTTAGGTGGCTGGAGTGCAGAGCAAAACTGACAGAGAGGTGACTCTGATCCTTCAAAGCACTTATGTTTTTAGGGCCACAGTGTAGAAATGCCATCCCACGAGGCTGTGATGTAAACAGAAGTCATCAGGAAAACCTTTCTCAACCTTTTCCTCCCTTCTGGTCTAGGCCTGCAGGACAACCCATGGTTCTGTGACTGTCACATTTCCAAAATAATGGCATTGTCAAAAGTTGCTGACCCTGTGGTAGTACTTCTCGACCCACTGATGGTTTGTAGTGAACCGGAACGCCTCACAGGGATTTCGTTTCAGCGGGCTGAGCTGGAGCAGTGTCTGAAGCCATCAGTGATGACCTCGGCCACCCAGATCACATCTGCTCTGGGCAGTAATGTTCTGCTGCGGTGTGATACCACTGGCTACCCTACCCCGCAGCTCACCTGGACCAGACCAGACAGCTCGCCAGTTAATTATACAGGTATCTTCTTAATTTAGGCCTTTGAAACAAGGAGTTTACAAATGACTGAACTTAATCTTATGTTTTTGTATGATTTGAGATTGGCTGGTTATTTCTAATAAAATATGCTAAGATTGTTGAATGGAAGAAATTTGAAAAGTATACTTTATTGATTAATATTTTCCTCAGTTTGTCTGATTAACTATGTAGATGAAATTAGACAATCTGATTTCTTTCTTAGATGGAAAACAACATGACTCAGTGGATGGATGGTTGCAGATAAGGCCTTTGTCTTTATCTTTCCTCCATCATCTTGGATACTGCTCACTTTAAAATGTATAACAATTACAATTTCCTTAAGGGAATTTCAAACAAGTTTCTTATTTTCGAATGATTATTCAAATAATAAATTACATAGGAACTTTATTATGAGGCAAAAAGTGTAATTTTTTTTTTTTTTTTAACATCTTTATTGGGGTATAATTGCTTTACAATGGTGTGTTAGTTTCTGCTTTATAACAAAGTGAATCAGTCATACATAAACATATGTTCCCATATGTCTTCCCTGTTGCGTCTCCCTCCCTCCCACCCTCCCCATCCCACCCCTCCAGGCTGTCACAAAGCACCGAGCCAATATCCCTGTGCCATGCGGCTGCTTCCCACTAGCTATCTACCTTACTGCATTTGTTAGTGTGTATATGCCCATGACTCTCTCTCGCCCTGTCACAGCTCACCCTTCCCCCTCCCCATAACCTCAAGTCCATTCTCTAAGAGGTCTGCATCTTTATTCCTGCTTTACCCCTAGGTTCTTCATGACATTTTTTTCTTAAATTCCATATATATGTGTTAGCATACGGTATTTGTCTTTTTCTTTCTGACTTACTTCACTCTGTATGACAGACTCTAGGTCTATCCACCTCATTACAAATAGCTCAATTTCGTTTCTTTTTATGGCTGAGTAATATTCCATTGTATATATGTGCCACATCTTCTTTATCCATTCATCCGATGACGGGCACTTAGGTTGTTTCCATCTCCGGGCTATTGTAAATAAAGCTGCAATGAAAAAGTGTAATTTTTAAAAATATTGATTACACAGGTTTTTAGATCCTGCTATGACCAAATCAATGCTTTGGCCTTAGTTTCAATAGTGATATTCTGATGAGTAACGGGATATATTTTTTAAATTCTTCCAAATTAAATTTAAATTGAGGCTGAAATAATGAAACCTGATAGAATTAAAAACAAAAGTCAAGGCCTAAGCCCACAGTTCAAGGCAGTGAGTTAAATTTGGAGCTACTGAAATACCACTCTGTGCATATTATTATTCTTCAGAAAGCTTCAGAAATCAAGACAGAAAGGAAATATGTTCAGATTTTAGTGTTTAGGAAATTAAAATTCCAATTTTGCAAACACTATGTATTATTCCATAAATAAAAACCTCATTGTTTACTTGTTTATCTAAATTAAATATACTGTGAAAGATAAGAATAGAAATTATGACTCCTCCATGCCAGAAAATGGTCCACTATGCCTTCTGACTATGTGGATAGTTAACACTTTATTACAATGAAAAAGTATTTTGAGAAATATTTAAGTAAGGTCTTGTGATAAACATTTTACAGAATCACAGTGGGTTAAAATTGGAAGGGATATTTGAAATCACTTTGTCTTATCCCCTTATTTTAAAAATGTGTAAACAGAGGCCTAAAGACACTAATTGGCTTGTCTAGAATCACATACTACTTAGTAAACAAAAGTTTACTAAGGCCAAAGTTTCTTAATTCTCAGCCCCATGTCTTTTTAAAATACTATTCCCCCCCCCCAAAAAATACTATTTCCCATAGAAACTTCATGGCACCCAGAATGTCCTACACTTCCATATAAACCATTTACAGAACCATCATCTGCAATCAGAGACTTGCAGCGTGCCATTTCCCTCTTGGTTTATGTGAGAGGTATGCGTGTAGAACCAGAAATTGTTGCCTTTTGAGTTGGCATGTTGTGTGAATCTTTTCTTCCTTTTATCTCACAGATTATGCATTTTTCTTTCTTCCAGTAATTCAGGAATCTCCAGGGGAGGGAGTCAGATGGTCCATAATAAGCTTGACAGGCATTTCTTACATGGATGCTGGGGATTACAAATGTAAGGCCAAAAATTTGGCTGGGATGTCAGAAGCTGTGGTTACTGTGACAGTGGTTGGTGTTGTCATGACCACCGTATCATCAGAAACTTCTGAAAGAAGAACTGGGGATCACCCTGAGCAAGAGGTCCAGCTGGGATCTAGAACATCTGCAACTCTACCTGGTTCATCATCGTCTCCCTGGCCTTATTCCTCCTCTTCTTCCTTCCCAGCTTCTTCCACTTTTCTTCCTACTTCTACTTCATCGCCTCCCTCCACTGCTTCCTTCTCCTTATCTCCTTTCTTCTCCTCCGTTGTTTCTTCAGCCACAACTCCAAGCACTAGAATATCTACAAGCACTACCATGGCCAGCCGTCAGTCACTCCACCCAGATGGGAAAAGAAATGTCAAGGTGGAGATGGGTAGCGGTAAGCTTCCCCCAGCTAGTGCAAGTAAAAGAGAAGAGTTGGCATTGTTGGATCAAGCCCTGCCGATGGAAACGAATGCCACAATAGAAAATCTCCAGGTAGTCAGCGAAACTGAAGAAAGCGTGATCTTGATGTGGAACACCATTAACACCACGCAGAATTTGGAAGTGACTGTGTTGTATTCCAAGTATGGTGAGAAGGACCTGCTACTGCTTAATGCAGACTCCAGCAAGAACCAAGTCACCATAAGTGGCTTGTTGCCTGGTTGGCAATATATAGCATGTGTCTGTCCAAAAGGAATGCCTCCCCAGAAAGACCAATGTATCACCTTTTCTACTGACAGAGTTGAAGAAGAAGGTGATTCTCAAGGGTCTTTCCTTATGGTGGTGAGTGGTGCTGCCTGTGTTGTTGTCTTGCCATTGATTTTTTTCCTGTTGTACAAAGTTTGCAAACTTCAGTGTAAGTCAGACTCCCTCTGGGAAGATGATTTGGCGAAAGAGACTTATATCCAATTTGAAACGCTGTCCCCCAGGTCTCAAAGTGTAGGGGAACTTTGGACGCGAAGGCCCAGAGACGATTCAGAAAAATTGCTGCTTTGCTCTAAGTCAAGTGTGGAATCTCATGACTTTTAAAAGCGAGGGTTCTAGAGCAGAGTATTATTGCTAAGGTTTTACAGCTCAGGCAAATGTGAGCTCCACAAAATTTCTTTCACAAAATTAAGGATCTAAGGGTATATAGTTGCCCCTCTGTTTGGATGACTTTTGGACACTTTCATATCTTTCATGAAAATCACAAATGGAGTGCTTTTAAGTGTGCTTTAAAAAAGTCACGAGACTTCTGAACTGAAAAGACAAATAATTTTGATTTTTGTTGTGGAGAAAATGTCCACAGAAATAATTTTCAAGGTAGGCTAAGTAAGTTAATAATATATTTTAGGATAATGTTTTAGTTCTTAAAAATAAATTCATGTGAAAATAGTCATAAAAAGTAAACTCTGAATTTTAAAAAGATAGTTTTTTGGGCAGTAAAGAAAGTGTAGTATAATGAGCTAAGCCTTGATGTTCACTCTTGTTCATAGTGCTTTATGGCATTTGCTGTGCACATTTGCTGCCATTGCCTTGTAGGTGAGAGTGGAATAGTACAGAAGTTTGCATTCACTAAGGTTAAATGCAACCCCAAGGACAGGGAGAGCTCTAGCTCTTGGTACCATTATGCATTGCAACACAGTATAGTGGTATTTATATTGCAAGGAAGAAAACATTTTTCCTTAGAAATATAGGTACTAGCAAAAATAAGTTTAAAAAGAGGATCATGGAATAGTAAGGCCATTTTGAAGATAGTAACTGTTGCATTCTAATACACCTGCTAACAGACTGTATGGGGTCTTTTTAAAAAATGTGCTCATTTTAGAACAATCTCTTTAATATTTTGTTATGTACTCTTCTTTTCCCCTTCCCTCTTTTCTTCTCTCCCTCCCTCCCCTTCTTTTTTTTCCTTCTGCTTTGTCAGAAGATATTCAGGTAGCCAAAGGACCACAGCTAAAGTGTTTGTCTTTTGCCATGTTATATTTTGATTACCTGGATAGAGGGAAGAACTTTGAAAGGCTTTTAGATCCCAAAAGGATGTTTTAGGATTTTGAAAGAGCAAATTCAGTGGATTTATTTAGTCAAACTCTACGTTAAAAACATCAGGGAAATTGAATTGGAGTGGGTCACGTGATTAGATAGGAAAGGGGCTTCATAAATAAAATTTAGCTTTTTAAAAGAAGTTTTTTTCCACCATATTTACTAAAGATTATATTCCCTTTACATTGAAGATTTTGGAGTGTAGAACAGATTTATACAGGTGTGTCAGGAGTCCTGAAATATGCTGAGAAGCAAGTTCTATATTTTATATAAGAAACAAATTGGCTTTAATTTGTTTGTACCACATTGTGGAAATTATAACACAAGCAGCTGGAGAATGAAAAACTGCTCATTCCAAATGGATTTTAATTAAAAGAAAAAGAGAATTCTAGTTTAGCCATAATCTGCATATTAGAAGAAGACAAGCATGGAGGGATGGCCTGCTCAGAACTCCCAAACTTCCCCTTCTTGTCTCCTTTCCTTTCCTTTCCAGCCTCTTTGTCCTTGGTGCTTTTATCACTATGTGCATTGTCTAATGATCTAACAAGTTTTTAATTCAGTATTCATTGTTAGGATTTTTTGTTTGAAAAATACTTTTTAAAAAAATTTTTTTTATTATTTTTTTGTGGTACGCGGGCCTCTCACTGTTGTGGCCTCTCCCGTTGCGGAGCACAGGCTCCGGACGCGCAGACTCAGCGGCCATGGCTCATGGGCCCAGCCGCTCCGCGGCACGTGGGACCCTCCTGGACCGGGGCACGAACCCGTGTCCCCTGCATCGGCAGGCGGACGCTCAACCACTGCGCTACCAGGGAAGCCCGAAAAATACCTTTTAATGACAGTTTTGTGTTTAACTTCAACTTATGTTAGATAATTTATTTTAAATTTAATGATTACAAAAATGTGCATTTCTTTACTCTCAAGACAGCATGGAATTTCATTGCCATATTTAAAAGGCTCATATAAACAGACTGCCAAAATACTACCACATTAGAAATAGTGTGGGAGAATGTTACAGACTACTGAGCCAAGACATCCAAATTGTACGAAGGCAGGTTATTTGTCAAGAAAGGAGACCTGGACCATCCTAATGAGATAAATTACTGACTGCTCTCATAATTAAAGTCAAGTGAAGCCTGGACTTAATTTTGCCTAGTGAGGAAAAGGTAATTGGTGGTGTGAAGGGGATAGGAACAGCAGGAGAAAGCACCTTTGTCATCCTCAACTTGGACTTGGCACACGAGGTGAGTTGCAAGTAATTTGTTACTCATAGTAAGATAAATTAAATTATAAATCATCTACTTTCTAAAAATACATACGTTTGAACGTAGTCAAGGTTATCCTGATGATATCATTGCTCTTATGTTCTTACAGTATGCTTCCTTGAGTGGGAGAGAAAGGTTGACGTTATAGCAAGTGGCATGGAATTCCACATAAGCAACAGCCTGTTTATCAGTGTCACCATATGCATTGTGAAGAGCACTCATAAATGATAGATAGCAATATACGTGGTAATTAAATATGATTACAATATTTTACTTTCAGACAAAATATATTTGAGGTTGTAAAACTCAGGATACATGGTGAGGGTGTGTCACATGTGAGGCTATCATCAGTGATGTGCTATGACATAAATGATGTTGAGAACTCCAAGCAAATAGTTTATAATGGCCAGAAAAGCAAACCCTAAATAGAGTCAGACAGGTGCCTTGGGAAACTTTTGCAAAAAGTTCAAAGAAAAAAAATTTTGACCCAGGGACTTGAGTCTCAAAAAGGGATTATGGCTAACAAAGAGAGATTTAAACACACACACACACACACACACACACAAACTGCTGAATAATTATGAAATAATTCTAATAAAATGGAAGAAAGCTTAGGAAAGTTGAATGGCTATTTAATAATCTCAAATTTCAAATGATATATATAAAAGGTACAAAGAAGGAGGGGTGGCCAAGGATGAGCATAGAAATTAGCAAATTTATTATAAAAGTGTCATAAATTAAGTCCCCAAATAAATCAAGGCCAAAAAAAAAATGATAAAGTTGACCAGAAGGAACTATAAGGCTTGTTTTTTTTTAGTCAAAAATAACAAGGAAATAATAAGTCTACTGCTTAGAGATGATAGCAGAAGGTATATCAGAGAAGTAGCAGAATCATTTAACTCCTATTTTTCCTTCTCTCTTTCCCATCCCTTTCTTTCCCTCTTTCCTTCCCTTTTCTAGATGGGTTTTTAAGCTGAATATGGAGAACAAATTATGAGAAGTGGGAATTTCAGCCCAAGATAGATAAGGGATTAGTGAACTAACTCCAAGGTATTTAAAATGAGGCCAGATATATTAGGTACCAGGGTGGTAACAGAATTTTCAGCCATAATCTCAGAGCGACTGTTTTTGAAAAGTATTTGAAAAGTCATGACAAATAGGAGAAATACTGCAAGACCACAGATGGGTAAGTTTCATCTTTATTTTTAAAGAGGGGACTAGGGTGGATTCTGGAAATTATAGACAACTTGATTCATGTTTACAGATTTGACAGTAGGTTGTTAAAAGGCTTGTTTTTGAGCATGCAGAAATGAATGTTATGGTCATTAGGAGCCAACAAATGTCAGCCTAGGAAAAGGTTTGATAAACTAAAATGGTTTATTTTTAGGTTACTAAGTTGATAGATAAAGGACTGCTTGAAAATCGAATAGCAGCTAGTTACTGGTGTTTGTTTTGACTTGTTGGAGTAATATAAGTTGCCTCCTCTCAATAATGTCTAGAAATGGCTTTATATATTATGAAAAATTCTCTAGTAGAATGCCCTTACCCTATTCAATTCAGTATTTTTATAAGTGACTGGATGAACATAGGCTTCTTGACTCTGCAGAGGACATGAAAGTAAACAGGGTATCTTATTTTGGTGCTTCTCAAACTTTTCCTTGGAATATTCCTAATTGAAGGGAAAAGTAAAACTGTATGTCTGAAACAAAACAGAACAAAACAAATAAAAAAAAACTGTATGTCTGGAGAGACCAGGGCAATTGTCCTAAGTGTCTGGCAGAAGAGAGATATTTCTATGAATTATTCTGTCTTAATTAAAAAGCATGTGAATTTGCATTCTATGGCATAATTTTTTTTAAATATAAAATAACTCTCGGGCTTCCCTGGTGGCGCAGTGGTTGAGAGTCCGCCTGCCGATGCAGGGGACACAGGTTCGTGCCCCGGTCTGGGAAGATCCCACATGCCGCGGAGCGGCTGGGCCCATGAGCCATGGCCGCTGAGCCTGCGCGTCCGGAGCCTGTGCTCCGCAATGGGAGAGGCCACAACAGTGAGAGGCCCGCGTACCACAAAAACAAAACAAAACAAAACAAAACTCTCCCTCTCTCATTTCTTTAGGGGAAATTGACATTTCTGTGCCTTTGAACATCTTGGTACAGAGTACCCCAGAGATACTCTCCTTATCTTCACCCAAGTCAATTATAAAAACCAGATAGAATAGGGTAAAGGACATATTTGAGGATATTTGAATTTGCATATAAGAAATGAATTATATTAAAAAAAATAGGGTAAAGGACAGAGACCTGTGGCTTTCTATTAGAGACTATTTCATGCAGTATGAAACCATCAGTGAACATATTTATATGATAGGTGAAGGAATCAAATCTTGAAAATTATCTTAATAAGATGGCATATTAAAGCTAACAGGGATAAATGAAAATTTTGTGTTTGGATTAGAATAAATATGGGCGTTTAAGTAAAAAAAAATCTGTGACTTTAGTTGATTACAATCATTCTATGAACCAATAGAGTTATGTACAGTAATTGCTAAAAATGCTAGTGTTAAGTTACTTCAATATAAGTAATAGACCAAGGAAGGTAAGAGTTCTGCTGTATTCTACATTAACAGACCATTTCTACAGGATCAGGTTTAATTTCGGATGCCAAATTTAAATACTTATGGACCTTGATAACAACTATGGACTATCCGTAGGAAGGTACCTAAGATCACCAAGCATCTGGAAATTTTATCATGCAAGAAAGGGTTAAGGACTGGAGCAGGCTGCGGGGAGACCAGGCTAGCTTAGTGCAGCACAAGGCACTAACTCTTTCCCTGGAGGACTATGCTTAGGAGCGGCTGCTTAGGTTGTTAAAATGGCGGCTACTGGGTTCTACAGGTAGAAATTCAAATTCAGCAGCCTGGGGCCTTGGAAACCGCAATTTGACACTCAACCCAGGGGAATGATGCAGGTGATGTAATGACTTTGAGATACACTGTTCTATGCAATGGATACAGAAGCAATACTGCAATTACAAAGAAGGAGAATGGCTCCACGTTAAAAACAAACAACTTCTTTTTTTGCCAACAACCAGAGTTAGAAAACAGTGGAGTAAGACATGTTATTATAATATCACTCAGGATGTTCATGGATATTCCAGAAGTCAGGAATGATGCAAAGACACAGTGAAGGACATTGTGGACTAAAAGTTCAATCATTTGGACTATAGCAGAAAGAAATGAAAATTAATAAAATTGTATCTTTTGGTTTCAGTGGAAAGAGAATGCTAACATTTGTATTAAGTAGCCTCTTTTTGTTTAATTATAATAAAATTGATTTTGTATGTAAACATATGAGTCTTGATTTGTTTAAATAGTGGAAAAATTAGGCTATAAACTATTGGATAAGTTTGTGTTGTCCTCTTTTTATACAATTAATTTCAACTAAGTGGTTGAATGAGGGAGTCATTATAATTTTTCTTCTCCTTGCTATAGGGTATAACACTGATGACTCATTCCTTAACTATTCAGGGAAGAAAAACCCCAATGTTTTTTATGTATTATTTTGATATAATTTATATACACAGTTAAGTCCTTACAGAAAAGTAGCAATTTTCTTATCATTGCCATTATTTTAATACACCATTTATTAAGTGTGCTAGTTGTTTTTATCTTAAGGAATTTCCCAAGTGTTTAACATTGTGACAGTAGTAAGGAGTTAAATTCTTGAAGTATTGTAGTTACATAGGTTTCCATTGATGCTGAATTCCTTATCATATTCTCTGTGGTTCCTAGGAGCAAAGAAAGAAGGGTAAGAGTACAGAAGAATTTTGAGAGAAAACATCTCAAAAAAGCAAGATAGCAAGTCTGGAGGATAATGGTGGCCACCTGTATCCTATTATCTTCATGCCTTCGTCCCTTCCCAAAGAACCTATTAGTTTAACAAAAAAATTTAAAAAACCACACATGACCACATTTTTAGCATTCGTAGGAGATAGAGAATACCATGAACCTCACATTGCTTGTAAGAGAAATAAACATCAAATTCCAACAGATGTCTTGCCATTGCTGCAAGCCTGGGGGTATGGAGAGTAAGAGAAGGAAGGCTTAAGAAAGAAAGAGGAGAGCTGAGAATACATGTGAAGCCGAGACAAAAATCACACCCAGAAAATAAAAGACAAACTAGTGCAAATATACTGACCTGAGGTTTGGGACTTGGTAGTTCATAGCATGAGCTACAGGGAAGGGCCTTGAAAGTGAGTGGGACCAGAATTGGAAGCTTTGGAAAAGCATTGCTTCTAGGGGAGAAGGAGTCAGAAAAGTGTGGTACC